TTATCATGGATTTTAAGTTGTCAGACTGCTAAATTTGCTCTCAAATGTCTGTTTGTCAGTGTTACCAGGAAATAATCATGCTTCCATTTCATGGAGTTTTTATCAAGTACCCGGCACTGTACTGTGCACTTAATGTTCATTACCGCAGATTTTCAGTGAAAAGACACTAGAGCTAGGAGTGTGGCTGACATAACACTGGGGCTCAGCTACTGGTGAGTGGAACAGGGATCCCACCCAGCAGGAGCCGCAGGGACTCCTGATCCCTTGCCTCCTCTGCCCTGCAACCCAATGCGAAAGCAGATTAGTGATGTTCTGTTTCCCCTAGTCCCTTTGTCTTTCACATACAACTTTAACTCCTCCTGGTACATTCATAAATTAGAACAAGGATCCCTGAAATCAAAGAGATCACTGGAATTGCTTCTTTTATGCTCCTGTCAGTTCTACATTTATTTGTAAATAGCCAGCCCTTTGAAAGACATTGTGTTGTTCCAAGCAGGATGAGTACTTTAGACTCATACCTACCGTGGTGGTCTCTGTATAACAATTCAAAAGGAAATAGTCATCTTCAAGTGAGGATGATTTTAGTTGAGGGATGAATCTGGAAAGTACTATTTGTAATGACCTTTGTCGGATGAATTTGGTTTCCTCAGGGTCAGAACAAGGAAAACTGTCATGTGTCATCTTGTAGTTAATTATTCCTATAGCACTTTATAGTTAGTTGTACTTAGTGCCGATTAACAGTTAAGTATTTGTATACTACCTAAGTGACTGTAAACTTAAAATACTGAAATATTACTATATAGGGGTAAGGGTGGCAGGGGGAGGTGAGTGATATGCTGATCCATGACTTCCATTATAGAGAAGAGCAGAGGGTAGGTGGCCACCATTAGAAGTCGTAATCAGTAAGGGAGAGGGTGTTTGTTTTACCTGAAATTACATTAAGCAGCAGCTTACTAGCATATAATATAGACTTTGGAAGTGTAGAACATTAACTGTAATGGAGAGGTTAAATAGATTTCAATCACTTTTATCCCTTACATTGATTGCAGTCATTTTAGTACTATTTGTAAATTGATTTTGTAATCATGCCAAATTAACAGAAGCATTTTTGGAAATTCAGAAATACAGCATGGGTTTGATTTGGTTTGGTTTTCCTATATACTTCCCTTTAGGCCACTTGTTTCTACTTCTGTAAGTCATTTTGTCCACAAGGCTTTAGGTGCCTCCCAAAAATCCAGCCTATCTGTGCAATGAGTGAAATTTTCAGCATTCTTCTTGTATTGAAATAAAATAAACTATTGAAGAGAAAACTTTAAGAAGGGTTCCAAAAGCTTGTTAAGAATTTGGTGAGTTGGGACACCTGAGTGGCTCAGTGGTTGGGCGCCTGCCTGCAGCTCAGGGTCCTGGTCCCTGGATCCGATCTGGTCCCTCATCAGGCTCCCTGCAGAGAGCCTACTTTTCTGCCTGTGTCTCTGCCTTTCTCTCTCAGTCTGTGTCTCTCATGAATAAATGAATCTTAAAAAAAAAGGGGGGGGGGTGGAATTTGGTGAGTGGTACTTGGGAGTTAACTTGCTGCAGTCTTATAGAAGATCTATCCTAACTCCCATCTGGGTTGGTCTAGGAAAGGCATTGTAAACTCAGGATGAACGGAATCTGTGATTTCTGCGTTTTCATGTATAATTATATAGACTTCCCAGGTCATGGAACACACTTGGTATTCCTCTGTGAATTATGATCACCATTTTGCTGTCTTTCTTACAAAGAAAAAGTCCCCAAAACAAGAGAGAGAGAGAGTGTGTGTGTGTGAGTGTGTGTGTGTGAGTGTGTGTGTGTATTTAATGCACGTTGGTTTGGAAAAGCTTATAAAAGTCAAAATCCTATCTGTGTGAAAATGGATTTAAAATAATCAGTAATTGTTCCAGCTCATGCAAAGATATACTATTAAGGCTGTTGATATCACATGTCCTGCATGATGAAAAATTACAGCTGTCACAGAGTCCAGTCTTTCTTACATACAGAGTTTGTCTATGTAAAATTCTACTGGCTCATAATTTAGAGGAAATTTCAGATCTTTAAAAATTAGAAATCAGAACTGTTCTACATCTGTAAAATTTTGTTTGGAGAAAAATCCTTTTAAATAAGAAAAGCAAGTATCTCTTTTAAAATGTTTCAGTTGTGTTAAGTTACAATTATGCTCATTTTATGTCATGCCCTAAGGAAACCGTTGTTACCATTTTGGTACATAGCTGTGTGAAAGGATATTGTTCCAAAATTTCTTGACTTTTAAAAAACCTTATTCAGAAGAGGTAAAACCAACTTAATTAAAAGAAGAATAGGCAAATGAAGACTAGTCAAGACTAATTATTAATGTATAGAAGTATTTGTGCCCTTTTTATTGTTCATGTTTATACATGTTGATTTTTATAGCCACACATTGTTTTATGTGTATGTCAGACATTGAGTTCTATGCTGTCTATTACAGTGGCCACAAGCCACATGTGGCTATTGAGCACTTGAAGTATAGCTAATACAAACTGAGATGTGCCATACGTGTAATATATACAGTGGATTTCAAAGATGGTACAAAAGGAAGAATGTAAAGTACCTCAAAGGTTTTTATATTGATTACATGTTACAGTGACAACATTTTAGATATACTGAATCAAATAAAATATTATTACATTTAATTAAACTTGTTTTTCTATTTTTTAAATGTGCTTGCTAGCAAATTTTAGATCACATATAAAGCTTGCATTTGTGACCCACGTTGCATTTCTGTTGTACAGTGCTAGTCTAGATCATCTCTATGTCTACATAGTTATGTTTTAGTAATAGTATCATCTTCTTAGAAAATCCTATTGAATAACTTTCAACTATAACCTCTGATTTTATTTTCTTATATTTCAAATGCTGTTTTTCAACATCATCTTTTGATTCTTTTTTTTTCCCCATCCCAGTACAGAGATACTTTAAACTGCCTCTTCCTTTGATACTAGTAAGTCTCCTAGGAATTTAAATAGGCCTCTGTGAAAGCAATACTTGAGCCTCATTCATATGTTCAAGTTAGATCATTATTCCTAATAATGGCTTTAAGTGCTTAGATAGATCAGCACTTCGTGTCTTGAATTGCTTGTCATTTTTTTTATAAAGATGTTTCAAAAAATTGCTCCACGCAATCCCTTGTTTCATTGTTTTCTAGCAAAAAAGTAACATAATCTCATAATCTTTTATTAGTTTGTTGGGAGTCAGAAAAGAAAAGCCTTTTAAATATTAGCAAAAACAAAATGTATTTCCAAGTAGTGAGAATAAAGAGCAAAATTAGTCGTGAGCGATAGTCCTGCGAAAGTTAATTTTTTAAATAAATCATGAATGCACTGGCAATTTGCCAGTGGCTTTCACTTCTATTTTATTTTCCCATTATACTTGGGTCCAGGTTGTCATCAGTTACCACGAGGAAACCCATGTAATTCCTAGAGAGAGAAAAGTTGCACTGTTAGACTTAATAGTATGGTAGTCATGGAAGCATCGGTTATCTTCATCAAGGCAATTCAGATTTGATTATTGTAGAACTGTGTTGAATACCAAACCAGTGGAGTAGTAGCTGGAGCTAAATCAAGGGATTGTCATTTTTGTCAGATGATTAGGGCTGACTTGGAAGAGATATGAAAGGGTTGAGCTGTGTAAATATTCTCTTTTCAGCAGAAAAAGAAAAGGTCCATCATGGCCATTAAGATGCAGCTTGTTAGCTTGATGAATTTCAAACTATTTAACCTTAGCAATTATATACCCCTGCGCACATACAAGTATATCAGTGCCTTGGGATTATGGCTCTAAGGATTGATATCAAAGCATATTGGGAATTTAAGATAAAATGAAACCTTTCTGTGTCTAGATATGGCTCTCTAAAGGACAGGCATGCTCTAGTTCAAAGTCCTAATTATTAACTTGCAATATAAGTTCAGGTAAACACTGGAACACATTTGTTTATAAGTTTTTTAAAACTTTTAATGAAAAATGTGTAATTTAACATTTTAGAGATGGTATTTGTTTAAGTTGTAGTATTAACATACTGTATTTTTATAAACTAGAATTCGTTTAATTTTTATTTGCCTCTGATGGACCTGATATACTTAAATAATAGACACATTAAGTGATAGTATCACATTTAGATAGACAACCCTGACCCAATGATCTTAGGATATTTCTGCAATGTTTACGAGTAAGTATCAAAAGCCAGAAAGGCCAGTGTATTGCTGTTTTTATGAAAGTGTGCATTGGTCAATTTGCTTTTGTATTTTGATGGTACCCTGCTAATATTTTCTCTACCTGGGTACTTATTAAACTTATACATAAGAATAGATGACATAAAAATTTCTAACTTTAAAAGAATTGCTGAATTCCATAATACATTCATTTTTATAGAAGAAGGACTCGGTGTGCCATCTAGTGGGCATATATAGCATTCTGGTTATCAAAAACTAACAGATTTTTACTCTCCTTCCAAAGTGCAGCTTTCTTAACACTTGATGTCTCTCAGGCCTTCAGGGTAAATTGTTACATCTCATGTAATTTTTCAGTTTGTCATAATTTTGTCTCATGGTATTTTGGGAAGTCATTAAAAGTGATCAAAATAATCAGAAATAAATCACTTATTTTGATGAATTCTATACTTAAAATATATATAGAATTATTGAATCATTACTTTGTACACATGAAACTAATACAACACTGTGGATTAAGTGTACTTGGAAAAAAATCTAATGATAGGAATAAATCTGTGTGAACTTTGAGACTGGTAAAAGTAAAATATATAAAATAATTTCATTGTTTAATCAGGACTAAGATCATTTAAGGTAAAACTTCAACAGTGAAAGCAAAACCCAAGCACACTAATTATTGAACTTCGTTATTATATGTATTATATGACTATTGTTCTATCCCTTTTATGTGTTAGTGTGTAATTTAAATAGCTTTATACATTTAATTTTTTTTTTCTATAGAGAAATCCAAGACCAGTGACTTACCAATTCCATCCAAATTTAGATTATTACAAAGCACGTGGAGCAGACCTCATGAATAAAAGCCGGTAAGTCCTCTTTCTCTGATGAAAGTTATGAGCCACAAAGATGTTCTCTGAGGTGGTCAGGAATTTTTATACATATGCTGACAATAAATTTATAGATTTTAGCATAGCAGTGGTTAATGCATTCAGTGACATCTTTATTAAATATCTTGAGTTTTTTTTAAAGGTATTATAAAATATATACATTGATGTCAGTGGTAAGAAGAAAAATAGAAGAGTATTTGTTATAATTTGAAGTTAGGCAACTTCATTTTTCTAACACTAATAAACCTGAATAAATTGCGCCTACTTGTATAATCTCTTTCTAAATCCTTGCTGTTGATTGAAAAGAGGCAGTTCTATAATATATTTTTAAATTATTTCAGTAACAAAATTAAAATTGGGTTTCCCAACTGTCTTTAGAACTACACAATAAGCTTATAAATGCATCTTGTGTGTGCATTTGTGATTATATACATAGAAATTTTAAGGGTCACTGTAGGAATAAAAAAACATTAAAATTCTACTTTTAAAAGAAATTAACATTGGCATAAAGGGTTGATGAACAGTTTTGTTCTTTCATAATACTGTACTCAGATGTCTCAAGAGTTAACTTGTCAAACCAGAACCATCTCAAATTAGAATGTAATTTCAAAGTTTACCCTGGAAGACTAAAATGTTAGTAATGATAAATGCTGCTAAGTTGTCCGAATTTTTTTCCTTAAGCATTTTGCCTATGTGCTAGCTTTTCTTCAGTAGAATTCCAGCAGCCTAAATGTACATTTATGGAGTACACACACATGATATCTTCTGCTCTTACTTGGAGAGTTAAAAAGAAGACATAATTCCTGCCACATAGAAACTCATGGTCTAGGGAGTGAGAGGTTGTTTACAAGAAAGTGCCTTAATTTAAACTTTTGTCTTGAACCCTCTTTTAGTGTAACATTATTTTTAAATGACTCATCCTTGATGGAAATCCATCTCACGTTTTGATGTGCTGTGTAATTGTGACACCAGCTGTATAGCCAATGAGGTTTTTCGGAAACTCTTTTCTGTTTGTTCATTTCATCTGATTCTTATTTCACTAATAAAAGGCTATTCTCTGCAGTCACTTTGTCCATTTAATTTAACAAATTTTTATTGCATGCCAGACTTTCTTCACTCTAGGCGTTGGAGATAGTGCACAAACCAGAGATCCTACTCAGTGCACAAACTCCTGCCTTCAGGAACCTTACAGTCTAGTTACTTATATTTCCACCTATTGTGTCAAGTATTTAGTTTTGGTATGTTTAAAAGAACAAGGTATTTTAGGTACTTTCTTCTTTCTATGAGATCTTTCTAGCTAGACTCCCTTCTTCTCTGCACTATTCTCCCCTACCCCACCACCACCAGATTAGTTTTCATATAACAGCCAAAGAATTCTCAATTTATAGCAGATTATATCACACCCCATTGTAAACCCCTCCAAAGCTACCTGTTCCCGTTGGCAATCCACTGTTCATCCTGGCTCTGTTTTCTATCTCTGTAACCTTCACTCCTTCCATTCTCCCCTTATCTTAACTCCCATGCTTGCACTTGCTCTTCCCCCTTCCTGGAGCCCCCCTCCTTCCCTCTTCTTTTCTTGCTTCTGCATTATTTAAAACTCAGCCCAAAGGCCACCTCAGAAAGGCCCACTGGACCTCTCTCTCCATTGTCTTTTTCTCTCCTCTCGCGCTCTTCCTCATTGCCCAGTCTTATTTTCATAGTCTTCATTACTCACTGAAGTTATAGACTTCATTTATATGTGTCATCTGACTCCCCAACTTCCCCACTAAAATCTAAGCCCCTTGAAGGCAGGCACGTTGTCTTACCACTTGAGAGCACTGAAGATAATGTCTGGCATAGGGAAGTTACTCAACAAAAACATGTGTGTATATACATATGTTATCTTTTTACATGTTTTGATGTCTCCTTTTTTTTTTTTTTTTCAAAAAAGGAAATGGGCTATACCTTTTCCTTTCTGCCCTTAATGTTTTATCTTTCTTCTCTTTAGCCTTTTGTCCTTGCATTTTCTTCCTAAAATATTGGTTCTGTTTTAGCAATTACTTGTAAGCACATTGAAATTCTTATGCAAAGTATCATTGTCATGACTAGAAGGAAGGTTTTTTACCGCCTTTATTGCAATTTCAAAGGTTGAAACTGAACCAAATGAAAAATAGTATGTGAAGAACACATATTAACTCTTCTCACTAGTTCTGTGAGAAGAGTTAATAAATGGTGTTGGGAAACCTGACAAATCTGTGGAAAAGGTATCAACTTATAACTTTATAATATGCCAAAACAAATTCCAACTGAATCAAAGTACACTCAAGCAAACATAGAAATAAAATGGAAGTGTCTGTCTCATCTCTAGTTACTAGAAGGCTTTTTAACCTTGAAAGTAATGGAAGAAATCACAAAGGGAATTACTGGTACATTTTACTACACAACTGTTTTTAAGTAGGTAAGTCAAAGATAAACTGAATCAAAAAAGTAGATGGAAAATTGCAAAAATATTTGTAGTATAACTGACAAACTAGTATCATTAATATATACAGAACTTATGCAATTCAGCAAGAAACATAAGACCCTGTCTCAGTGGCCATTCCATCTCATGCCATGCTCTGTTGGATCCTCCTTTTTTGCTTATAAATTTTAGAACACTCTCCAGACTTCCATTCTTCACTGTACTCATTCCCTAAAGGATCTCAGTCCAGGTTCATGGCTTTAAATACCATTTATGACTGAAGGGTCCTTAATTTGTATCTTTAATATGACCTCTTCCTTTGAACTCAACTCATATGTACTACCACTTACTCAGTATTTCCTCTGGGATATCACATTTGTATCTCAAATTTAATACTTTCCAAACTAAACTACTGATTATACCTCTACAAATCCATTATTCCCCTGTGTTTCTCCATTACAATAAGTAGCCAATCTAGTTGATCAAGCCTTAGAATTGCCTTTGACTTGTTTTTCTCTTATATCACTCATCAAGTCCATCAACAAATCTTCAGAGTATATCCTGAGGGCAGCCCGGGTGGCTCCGCAGTTTAGGGCAGCCTTCAGCCCAGGGCATGATCATGGAGACTCGGGATCCAGTACCATGTCAGGTTCCCTGCATGGAGCCTGCTTCTCCCTCTGCCTTTGTCTCTGCCTATCTCTCTCTCTCTCTCTCTCTCTCTCTCTCTCTGTCTCTCATGAATAAATAAATAAAATCTTTAAAAAAAAAAAAACAAAAGTATATCCTGAAAGAAATCACCTTTTTCTCTGTACTATTAATACCAAGTCACTGTTAGTCTCTTAACAAGTCTTTTTACAGTCTCACTTTCTTATAGACCCTTTCCACATAGCAGCCAGATTAATGGAAGGCTTATCCTATCACTCTGCTGCTCAGAACCATTCATTTACTTCCTAAAATATATAGGATAAAATAGGATAAAAGCCTTTTCAGTGACCTGCAAGGTAAGCCCTACATGATCTCTCCAACCCCATTTGCTACCACCATTCTTCCTGTTTCTCACTGGACTCCATCCACACTGACCTGCTTACTATTCCTCAAGCAAACAAACGCATTCCCACTTCAGGAGCTTTGAGCTTGCTTTCTGCTCTGTGTCTGGATTCTTTGTCAAGGATCAACATGGCATACTACTATTTACTATTTACTCTGTGTTCAAATATCATCTCTGCAGAGTCCCTCTCTTTGACAACCCTATCTAAAATAATGGACCCCTTTACTCTGTCCCTTTACTTTGTTACTGTTTTTGTTTTTGTATTTTATAGCAATTCTTACTCCTTGAAATGGTAAAAAAAAAAGAAAAAAAATGATTTGGGTTTTTTGTTGTTTTTATTGTTTGTTTCTTGCTCTGAAACTTTGTAAACTCTACATTTTGTCTTGCTAACTGTTATATCCCTGGCACTTAAATACTGTCTAAATAGAGTAGGCTCTCAATGAAAGAAGAATTTCAAACAGCAAATAAACATTTAAAAGGCTATTAAAATTCATAATTAGTCAAAAAATGCAAGTTAAAACACCAATAAAGTATCATTTTCACTTTTCATATTAGAAAATTAAAAATAAATGAGCCAGAACTGAATAAGTCTCGGAGATCTGTATAGTGCCCACAGGTAATAATAATATATTAATTAATATGTATTAAAAATTTGCTAAGAGGGTAGATCTTATTTTAAGTGTTTTTATCACAAAATGTAAAACAACTGTGGAAGGAGCCTCGATGTCCATTGAAAGATGAATGGATAAAGAAGATGTGGTTTATGTATACAATGGAATATTACTCAGCCATTAGAAACAACAAATACCCACCATTTGCTTCAACGTGGATGGAACTGGAGGGTATTATGCTGAGTGAAATAAGTCAATCGGAGAAGGACAAACATTATATGTTCTCATTCTTTTAGGAAATATAAATAATAGTGAAAGGGAATAGAAGGGAAGGGAGAAGAAATGGGTAGGAAATATCAGAAAGGGAGACAGAACGTAAAGACTCCTAACTCTGGGAAACGAACTAGGGGTGGTGGAAGGGGGAGGAGGGCGGGGGGTGGGGGTGAATGGGTGACAGGCACTGAGGGGGGCACTTGACAGGATGAGCACTGGGTGTTATTCTGTATGTTGGCAAATTGAACACCAAAAAAAAATTTATTATTAAAAAAAAAGTAAAACAATTAATAATAATAAAGAGGGAGAGAGAAAACTTTTGGAGGTGGTGGATATGTTTATGGCATAGATTGTGGTGATGGTTTCACAGATGCTGACTTACTCAAACTCATTAAGTTGTACACATTAAATATGCGCAGCTGTTTGTTTATCACTTATACCTCAGTAAAGTGGTTTAGGATGAATGAATGAATGAATGCATGCATGCATGAATGAATGAATGATTGAGCAAGCTAGCACTGGTGAAGGTGTATGAATACCCTTAATCACCAATTGGAGGAGTATAAATTAAGACGAACTAGATAATCTTGCCAAGGAGTTCTTCCAG